AATTTATTTACTTTTCTTCTTTTAACCATCAACTGAGCGAGAAAAAAAATTCGGCCCCCGAAAATAATCATGTATGTTTAATGAGACGGGTGTATGTATTTTCGGTATGTGTTCATTTCTTGATGTTTATTCTTCATTTAACTTCTTTTGTTGAAATTTTGTTCGGATGGATTTCGTACACAATGTGTTCACAATTGGTCTGGTCTGGTTGGTGTTCCGATATATGCCAATGAGAGCGCGCGCATTTGTGTTTAAATGTTCAATTTGAATTTCATTCTTATTGATCTTCATCAATTATGCAAAAGATTCCGCGCCGACTAAAAGAGTCAAGAGAAGGCATCGAGTATGATTTAAACGTAAATGATATACACAAAAACCGTTGATGGTGACGATGATACCGGACCGCTCTCTCGAGCAACAGCAGCCAGCCAGCTAGTCAGCCAACCAACAGCAGCAGTAGCGGTGACATTGAGCAATTTCGTTTTGTGCGCATTTTTCTGTCTCGTTCGCGTAGACAAGAGAATTAATTCAGTTCTGTTTTTATTCCATGATAATGTTTTGTGTGTGTGTGTGTGTTTTTTTTTCAGCTTAAAGTGCGCATAACTAGACGCATGGATGATATCAATGGTGTGCTGCTGCTGCTGCTGCTGCTAAAAAGCACACAGAAAGAGCAAAAGAAGTCAGACGACAAACTAAGTGGACAAAAACAGTGTGCAGAAAATAAAATCCCAAATGACTTTTGAATAGTGCGATATTTTAGGATTTTTTTTTTGGATACGAAATTGTTTTTTTTTATAATATGCAAACATACATGTATATATATATATAGTCCGCCTAGCGTCTCTAAACAATTTGTCTGTCCAAAGCGGCAATAAAAATGTACGAAGAACGAAAAAAAGAAAGAAAAAAATTTTGTCCGCGAGAGAGCTGAAAAACAACCAAATAATAACAACAAATTTGAATACTCGATCGAATTCAATCTCTCTGCAGACGCGAGACAGCAACATTATTCGGTTCGTTCTTGTTGTTGCTATTATTGTTATTTTGTTGTGTTTCTCGCGTCTCTTGACAATAAAAAAAATATTTCGACCGAAAAAGAATTCTTTTACGATCGTCTTTAATTCATTTTGTCACGATGACCGTTCGTCCCTCTTCTGCTTCAATGACGATTTGTAATGTAAATGTGTGTGTTTTTTTTCTTCTTTCGCCGGACATATTTCTTGCGTATAATGTGCGACCGATCTTCAAATTCATTTCAATGATAAGGTTTTCCTGAAAAAATTCTATCAGCTATGCCGCGTTTCCGTACTTAATTCCATTACGTGCGATATGTATTCTCGATTGTGTCGGTTGATCGGTCGTTCGAAGCCCATTTCCTATTCAAACACAAAATACCGATACATACCACCGAGAATTGAATGGAACCGAATGAATGATTTCAATAAACACACATGGAAATTTGGTGCGCACGCGAGAGAGAGAGAGAGAGAAAGAGCAACGAATGAGCTAAGGTCAGAGGTGTTTGATGTCATAGACACTCAACTCTTGTAAATATAGTTCTTTGTTTGCATTGAAAATGTTGATGTTTGTGTCTTGTTTTCTCTCTATTCCACTTCTTTATTCGAGTCGTGTGTCGTCGATCATCTTTGAGTAATTTGCGCACCGTGACTCGAATGGCCTGCGACTTAACTGGCAAAGAATTACCAATAAGGCTGCAAAAGCTGAAAACAAAAAACCAATACTCATTCTCTTTATATTGGTTTTTCCATCATGAGGATAATGAGACGTGATTTTTCGGTTTCTTCGGGTTTTTGGACATTCTTATCGGGTGCCGAGAGGGAGACAGAATGAATTCACAAAGTTATTCGATTGGAACCGGAACGATTCGACCTTTTTGACGAACAAATTCGCTGCACATATTTACCAAATACCGCTTGATTACTTGTGGAACAGAAATTTTTACAGATCTTTTGAATTGGTTTTTTTTGCTCTCCCCCTCTCTCGCCATCTTATCGCATTGACATTCTGGTGAACCACAAACAGAGAAGAAGAAAAAAAAAGAATCATTGTTATTATTATCGCAGCGAGTTCCAATGAAATTACGAATATTATATTCGTTGCTGTTGTTGTTGCCTTTCGGCATTGCATCGTCTCAAGCATCATGTATATGATTATTGTTATTGTTACTTCATCTCTTGCCGTTTTCTCGGTGCTTGTCTCGCGCGCGACGGCGTTTAGCTACTTCGCATTCGGAATGTTTGCATTAGAATTTGTCGAGTGAAAAACCTTGAAGATCGTAGTTTGTGAATAAATTAATCAACAAACAGAAAAGTAGCGCCAGAAAAAAACACACACAGCGATTGAGGGAGAAAGAGACAGCTCGGTTGAACGGTGCACGAACGAGCAAGCAAGCACACACCACACAGCAAAGTGTCTCTTGTATCGTGTCTTTATTTTTCATCAAACTGAGCAAAAACCAAATGAAAACAAACCACCCAGTCAAACCAGTGACAAGCAGCAACAGCGCCGAACGTAATTCCAATGACTCGGAATTCAATTCTCAATCGACTTGAAATTACCAGAAACTACGGCAATTGAATAACAATAATCTAGCTCTAAATAGCACACATATTGATTTAGTTGTCGAACCACTGAATTGGTTCACACTTATGGAATGAAGGCAAAACGATAAGCCAATGCCATTATGGCCGATGTATGCAATAGATTAGGCATTATTTTTTATTATTATTTCAGTTGTTGTGTTAATTTTTTTTTCTCTCTTCGTTCTTTCTGTGTGTACGAATGTTGCTGTGTAGAACGGTTTGCTTTCCTTCTAGAAAACTGAGAAAAAATAGTGCAGAGAAGAAAGAAGAAAAAAGAATGACGTTAGTTGTGAATTGAGTGAGGAATGATTCTTCGCAGATGCGAGAAAAAGGACAAAAAACGCATATCGGCCAAACACACACCGACACACAACAACGACGGTGACGACGAAGACGGCGGCAGCGGCGGCAATGAAGGCAACACGCTTAGAAAATCTAATCATAAGTGACAAGTAACCACAGCAGCCGCAGATTGTCATACACACAGAGCACACACCGAACAACATCCAGTTAAACGAAATCGAAATAATAATAATTATGGTTGTAATTATAATAGTTGTGTGTATGTCACATTGAATGTCCCCATGCTCTTCGCTCCACACACACACACACACACACTCGAACTATTGTCACATTTACACTTCGATTCATGCCATCTCGTTGGTGTGCGCTCACTCACTTTGGTCTCTCGGTCTTTCGGTTTCAATGATATCTCCTCGCCACATACATCGTAGCGTGCGCGCGAACAATGTGTCGTTTGCTGTGCCTCTTTTATTATTGTTGTTGCTATTGTCGTCGCTGGCACTGTGTCTTCATTTCGTTTTTTTTTTCTTCTTTGTCGACTTCTTCACGCTCGCAATGTACTCGAATAATCGAAATGAAAACTTATTTTGTACGAACCGAAGAGCAGCGAGTTGAAGAAGCTGAACAAAAATACGCTGCGCATAATAAGAGACGGAGTAATCTACTCGTTATCAGCAATCATTACACTACGGCTAAACAGCAGAGGCAGCAGCAGCAGCAGCAATAATTCTAACACTTGGTGAACAAGGCAACAATAACCCAAAAATGTCATTTTCATATGGCGAGTTGAAACGAATTAATGAAAATGAGAGAGAGAGAGAGAGAGAGAGAGAGAGAGAGAGAGAGAATGAATTCCGCCATCGTCGCTCAAGCAAACTCGAAACAAATAGATGATGAAGACTCTAGTGAGGCATCGTAAAACTGACGATCGACAAATATCTAACAAATTTTTTTGTTACATGCTTTACGGCCAAGCCACACTTTGTTCGCGCACTCATCGTCGTCGTCGTCGTCGTTGCTGTTTCTCTCTGAATGGCTGCAAAACTTTGTGTATGCCACTGTATGAGTGGTGCTTTATTCTCGCTGTGTGCCTATTTATGGGATTTTCAAGTATTTTTGTGGTTTGTAACCTAATTTTTATCGACGAAAGAAAAATTGAAGAGAAAAAAAAACACAAACACAAACACACACACACACACAACAAAAAGTGTACATTTTTGTGCTCTCGGTCGTTTCGAGTACACACCATTTGTACAATGAACAAGATCGGTTTTGCGATTAAAACTCTCCGTTTAAGCGCGCGCGCGCGCAAGCTCATGTGTGAGTATGCCTGATGTATGCGAGCGAGTGCGAGCGCTTCATTTTATGTGTTACTATTGAGTACGTGCCCGTGCACAATGCCATTTAAAAAAATTTCTTATGAAAAAATGAAGACGAACAACAACGAAAATCCGAAGAAGTTCCTTTTCGGTTTGGTTATCGTTGGTCAAATGTTGTGTGCGTTCACAGTGCGTGATGCATAAGCACGTATATAATTGGACAATGATCTTTTTTCTTTGTCGTTGTTGCTGCTGCGAAAATCTCTGTCTTTATTTTCGGAACAACCAAGGGAGAGAGAGAGCGGCCCAATGCAATGAATGTGCAATTTGCACCGAAATCATCTTCACTTGAACCAAATTTCACTCGCAGCTCTCTGGTTTTCGTTGGATTTTTACGAGCCGATTTCTATGAATTGCATCATTTTTGCATATGTAAATTCCATTGCCATTTGCTGCGACCGCATGAATGATGAAAGCCACTCAGTAATCGCACTGTGAAACGGGAGTGTTCGTGAAAATGAAATATAAAAAAAAGAACGTATTGAAGATTTGAACCACAGAATGGCGTTTCTTTTTCGCTCTGACAGCAAGAGAGAGCCTCTATGAATATATAAAATCGAAATTATGAAATGTAAAAATCTGCGTTGCAGCAGCATCGGCAGCGGCAGCGGCAGAAAATGAATTGCTTCGCCTGTTTTTGAATATAGATGTGTATTTTATGTGACTTTTTCCCGTCATGGTAGATTTAACAGATAATTC